ACTCAAAAGGAAGGAAGGTCACAATCATACAATGCTATGCACCTACAAATAATGCAGATCAAGAGAGAGAAGAAGGAGGAATTCTACAGACAACTGCAATCAACACTAGACAAGACCTCAGTTGGCGATATCAAAATTCTAGTGGGCAAAATGAATGCCAAACTGGGAGCAGACAACACAGGAAGAGAACTAACCATGGGTCGAGAGGCGCTAGGTAAAATGAACGAGAATGGAGAATTGTTTGCAGAATTCTGCGCATTCAACGATTTGGTGATTGGAGGCAGTGTGTTCAGGCACAAAGATATCCACAAAGCGACATGAATTTCACCAGATGGACACACTAAAAATCAAATCGACTTTATCTCAATCTCAAGAAAATGGAGACGCAGTCTACTTAACACAAGGTCAAGAAGAGGAGCAGATGTAGGTTCAGACCACTATCTAGTGCAAAGAACCTTCCAAATCAAGTTAAAAGCCTTCAAGGAAACTGGTGATAGACCACAGTTCAAGTACAACACTCGGAAACTGAAGGATGAAACTACAAAGGAGGTCTTCAAGGCAGCCATCAAGACAAAATGGGAGATATCGAGGAACATCCCTGAAGAAACCTGTGTGGAAGAACACTGGAAGTCTTTGAAAGCTATGTGGAGAGAAACCTGCACAACAGTATTAAGAAGGAAGAAGAAAGAAGACAAGGAATGGATCTCGATGGACGCATGGAAGCTGATAGATGAGGGAGAGGAGGATGGTGAAGCAGAAGATGAACCAGTGCAAGGAAGCTCAACGACAAGAGGAACTAAGCACAATGTATAAAACACTGAACAAAGAAGTAAAGAAGAGTGCACGCAAAGACAAAAGACACTTCTACGAAACACTGGCAAGTGAGGCAGAACAGGCTGCAGGTAAAAGAGATACCAGACAACATTGTATCAAATAACCAGGTTACTATCTGGGAAGAGATCAACTCAGATGAAACCAATAAAAGGTGAAGAAGGAAATTTAATTACAAAAGAAGAGAAACAAAGGGAAATATGGGCTGACCACTTCAAGAAGCTCTTGAATCGACCACCACCCGCACCTAGTTCAGAAATACTACCTACAACCGCTGAACTACAAGTGAACATAAATCCTCCAACAAAAATGGAAGTCCTGAACGCCATAAAGCTACTGAAATGCGGGAAAGCAGCAGGACCAGACGGGATACCGCCAGAAGCAATGAGAACAGACTCAGAGACAACAGCAGACATGCTCACACCACACCACTATTGCAGAAGGTGTGGAAGGAAGAGAAGGTACCTGGCGATTGGAAGAAGGGTTACCTTGTGAAACTGCCGAAGAAGGGAAACTTCAGTGTTTGCAAGAACTGGCGAGGAATCACTCTCCTGTCCACCCCAAGCAAAATATTAGGCCGCATCATCCTGGAGAGGCTTAAAAATGCACTGGATTCAAAACTACGACCGGAACAGGCAGGCTTCAGGAAGTACAAACCATGTGCGGACCAAATTGCAACGCTTCGCATCATCATAGAACAGAGCATAAAATGGCAATCAGCTCTCTACCTCAACTTCATCCACTTTGAGAAGGCCTTTGACAGCGTCGACCGAGAGGTAATTTGGAAACTGCTTCAATTCTACGGAATACCACAAACCTTTATCAGTCTCATTCAACAACTATATGAAGACTCCACATGCCAAGTAATTCACAATGGGAAGCTCAGTGATGATTTTGAAGTGAAGACAGGAGTGAAACAAGGTTGCCTACTATCTCCCATGATATTCCTGATTGTGGTCAACTGGATCATGCAGCAAACAGTGGGGAGCGAGAAAAGGGGGATACACTGGCTGGACTGCGGAAAAGAACCTAGAAGATCTGGATTTCTTCGATGACTTGTGCCTGATGTCACACAAATTCGAAGACCTACAGGCGAAAACTAACAAGTTGGCAGAAGAGGCAGGGCAACGAAGACGGGACTTCAGGTGAATATAGAGAAGACAGAGGTGATGAAGATACCTCACCACCACCAACAATAACAACAACAAACTCCAATCACCATGAACGGGAGAAACTTAATGGAAGTAACCTCCTTCACTTATCTAGGAAGCACTGTTTCAACTACAGGCGGGACGGACGAGGACGTCAAAGTCAGAATCGGAAAAGCAAGACAGGCGTTCATTAGCCTGAAAACAATGTGGAGATCTTCTGCACTCAGCATGTGGAACAAGATGCGGATTTTCAACACCAATGTCAAGTCAGTGCTTCTGTATCGTTGAGAGACTTGGCGCGTTACGAAAGGGATTTCCAATAAACTACAGACATTCATCATCAACTGCTCACGCTGGCTCGCTACTGAAGATCAGATGGCCCGAAAGAATAAGCAACAAGGTGCTCTGGGAACGAACCAACCAAGAACCTATCACGCAACAAATATGCAGGAGGAAGTGGAGATGGATTGGGCATGCACTGAGAAGGCGGACTGGGGACATCACGCGTCAGGCCCTCGAGTGGAATCCCCAGGGGAAGCGACGAGTTGGACGTCCGTGGTGAGGTGACATGGAGGAGGTCGTGCGAGGAGGAAATGAGAGCTTCTGGGCTGTCGTGGAACCAGGTTCAAAAGATCTCAGAGAACAGAGTTAACTGGAGATGTGCTACTGAAGCCCTATGTTCCACTAGGAACCCAAGGGACTAATAATAATAATAATAATAATAATAATAATAATAATAATAATAATAATAATAATAAAGCTATACAGTTGAGGGTAGGAAAACATGTATCTAAATGGCTTTAAAAAGAAAAGGAGTATGAAATCGTAATAAGTACTGATGAGAGACGACCCTCTTCATCTGTAGTTAAACATATTATAGAAACAGGTCACAAGGTTAGTGAGAACAAGACATATAAGCGAGCATTATTTTTTTCCAATTAGATCCTCTTCAGGCTTTACTCTAATACAAATAGCTTTATATATATATATATATATATATATATATATATATATATATATATATATATATATATATATTAACGAAATTGATAAAAGTGATAACGTTGACTACAGCACATATAATATAGATGATAATGATGATAAGAACCAAGACAGCAGCATCTAGAAAACAGTTTGATCAACAACGTTTTCAATGACATCAAATTCACAATGGAGGAGTCAAACAACCAACTACCATTCTTGGACGGTAGGACGGTGTTCGAGCATCTGACAGATAATGAACACATGACCACTGTATTCACTTGAATTACACACTATCAATTAAAAATATACAGTTAAAGCATCCTGTACCTTTAGCACAGCATACCTATTACTATAAAGTAGTAGTTTTCTTCAGTATTACCCTTAAACTATATCTTGAACATAAAGCACTACAGGGGAAAAGTCATAGCTGGTTGTACTACGATAACTAAACTGCTATTTCCAACAACAGTATCATTAGTGATAGTAAAGATAAAAACTAAGTAATATCATACTTTGTCTCGTAGTAGATGGTTTGGATTCAACACTCAGGAAGCGATCCACAACAATTCCCACATGACGGGTCATCAATAACCTTGTTACAGCCGGAAAATCATACAGAAATAATCGACCGATTCAGTTAATAAATGAAAATTAAGAGTATTTGCTATGATTGACAACCATTCCGCACTTGTACGATTTCGACGCCAAATACAGTGTTCTTACTAGCTTACGATAAAATTTTCTACGATTTGTTTCATATTCTTGTTGGTCGAATAAAAAGCGCGATAATGGTTTTACAAGTACTTCCTAACTGAGTTCACAAGGCCAAACTGTTCTGCTATTCAGAATATAATTGAATGTCTTAGAAGAATGAACGACTAGTGAGCCTCCGTAGCTCTAGATGTCAACGTTCACTGATGTGAATACTTTTCAAATTTCTCCACGTGCTCTGTTGAGAATAGGTGTTGCATTTGAGGAATTTAATACATGAAACTGCGATTAAGTTTAGTCAGCCTCAACTAAAATGTCACGATCAACTGACACCTATTCAGTCTACAGAAATAATTAGCCTGGGACTATTGTGAAACGTAAGGCTTGGATGATGTTACTTTTGATAAGTGACTCTTTCATCAGACAACTACCGAATTGTTACCACGTTTGCTTCGTATAGCTCTTCTCATTTTCTCTGCATATTACTAACACTACAGTATGCTTTATCTATTCTACATGGATTGATACAACCTGTTTAGGTTTGACTAAGTGCTTGCTGGAGGCGATATTTATGCGAATCGACTTAATCCATCCATCTTGCTTAGCCAGTCGACTTACATAAGTTTCTTGCTTCCAAAAACGTACAACTAGCTGTGGTTTTCCCATGTCTTCGAACCAAAACATATTCTAAAACCGAATCCTTTACTATGTTCATAACAGACAACAGTGGGCAACTGATTTACCTATTCTGTGAATAAAATGCTTGCCTTAAGAGAGACGCAGTTTTTAAGGCTGGTTCGGTCTTCCCTGCTGAATATATGCTACATGATATTCCTATCACTACTGCGGCAACGAAATGCGCTCTACAGAACAAGATATAGAATTTCAAATGCTGAAAACGCAGAAATCCTAGTGATGTACGCTCTATCAGAAACTTGACAAACACAAAATGGTTAGTAAACGAATTCAACAATAGCAGAACCAAACTCCCCTAACATAAAGGGGTAACTAGATTAGATCGGATGAAATCGATCAGTAGTTGATCTCGGATTCTATTTTCAACAACATTCAAAAAGTAACGTATGTCTACGGGTATTTTTTGGAAGTTTTAATCCACATTGCTTAGCACTACAGTTACAGGCACTAGCCAGATAAGGTATCGAGAAAATGACTTGTTTGACATACGACTAGTTCCAGTAGCTACCGTTTCCAACTGATACCAATAACTTTTACAATCTCTAGGCACTTAGTTCAGACTAATGATGATCGATTGCGATGACTAGATACCGACTGACTAGTTGACTCAACAGCAATTTCTAACTATAAAAACGTAAAAGCCTAGATTATTATCAACAAAAACTCAATCTAACAATACAATGAACGAAAAGGTCATTATAATGAACAGTAAAATAATCAAAATAAATACTTTTCCAGCACATCTCGCACGTTTTATTCAACTCAATGTTAATGAAAATAATCATAAAACATAAACAAAACAAAAAACAGATGAAGTTACGACTAAAAAGAGAAGTTACCACACCAAGTCAACACCAAAATAGAATACATTTTAATTTCCATACTGACCAAACCAATATTTCACAGTACCACATACGATATACATGAAAGTTAAATTATGCTATCTTTACAGTGTCTAATGAACGACAATGGAGAAAATATCACATTATCATCTAGTCCGAAATAGACTACACAGAAACACCTCACTGAAACAATTGATAAATGATGGGAAAAGAATTCAAATGCATATAAAAGTGTTATTGAACGTAGCAGCATCATGAAAGATTTCCATTCACTTTAGTGAACCACTTACGGAAGAAGGAGAATTATTCTGTTTATTCTGATCGGTATTAGATTTTATGACAGGTGGGAATGGAGGTGGAGGTAGAAAACCTGGAGGGAAAGGTACTTGTACTGAAGGGAATCCTGGTAAAAGAGGTGGGGGTGGTCTGCGGTCACCTTTCATCCCACCAGGGAAAGGCATAATTCCAGGTGGGGGTGGTGGTGGCGGCGGAATGAATGGAAATGGATTGCCTTCCACTGCTGATCGCTGTGAAGACAAACTTGTTAACGACTGTCTTGACTGCGAATTCGTATCTCTTAAGTTTGCATTTTTTAGGAAACCAGGTGGTATTATGGGCCTTGGGAAAACATTCATAAGTTTTTCAGAAGAACCTGGTTTCTCAGGGAAAAGGAGCATTGAAGATCGCAAAACACTGTTTTCTGACTCAATGAGTTTTTGTCGAAGGCTTGCATTTTCTTCACGGAGCTCTTGAATTTGATGGTCAGAAGCACGAGCTGCTAACCAATTTTCATGAGAACGCTTATCTAGTTCCGATATTTGACGCCTACTAGTGCGCTCAGTCTCCGCCAGTTCTCGACGTAAAGCTGACATCTGCTCTCGCAATACTTTCACTTCTGCTTCAAGTTCTTGATTACGCTTTCTAATATGCATCAGAGCTTCTGAAGACTCAGAACCAACTACAACATGCTTTCCTAGATCCCTCTGTAGTTCCAGTTCTCGTTCTTTGAAGTATCCTGATAAAATGTCCAGCTTCGTTTGGGCTGTATTTCTTTCTTGTTCAAGTTGAGTGTGATTTGCTTTCAAAATTGAATTTTCCCTTTCTATTTCCTCCAACTTAGATTCAATCTCAATCCTAAGGTTGTATTCATTTTTCGCCTTAGCTTCTTCAGTTCTTATTTGCTCATCCTTAAGTCTGATTTGGGCGTGTAAACGACCAACATCCAAGAAAAATGACAATTGTTCACGTAATCTAGATTTCTCTGTTTTGTTAGCAACTTCGTCATTAGAATCAGATACACCACTTTCAGAAACAGTGTTTGATTTACCTAGATCTACTATATCTTCTGACACACAACTAGTCTGAGATAGATTGTCTGTGATATTTACTTCGCATTCTTCTGTAACATCGATTTGATGCTTTAAAGAAGATTCTTGATCAAAAATCACCTCAAGACCTTTAAGTGTATTAAAAGTGGTGAGTAAACTTTGGAATTCTGCTTCTTTAGCAATTAGCTTTTCTTCAGATAGTTTTCTGGATTCCAGAATTTTGTCTACCTCTGATTGCATTGTCTTCATTCGGTTATAATAAACATTAGCTTGGGAATACAACTGTTCTTGTTCATCTTTTAGTTCTTCGATTGATTTACGATTACTTTCTTCAACTTCTGAAAATTTATTTTTCCAATTCTCTTCATTTTCGGAATTTACTTGCTTAAGATGATTCACTTCGGCGTTTAATCCACGGATTACTTCTTCTTTATCATTTAATTTTGAACGCAAATTTCGTTCCAATAAATTGTGAGCATCTTTCAAGTGATTCAATTCAGACTGAACACGTATGAATGATTCACGAGAATCATCAGCTGACAAAGTAATCTCAGATACCTTAGATGCATATTCCTCTTGTAGATTTTGAAGTTTATTTGAAAGTGAATTAGCCCATTTAGATAAATGCGAGTTAGATTCTTCAACATCTGAAAGTTGACTTGCTAACTGAATACTATACTCTTCAAGTTTTAAATATTCAACAAGGGATGGAGATGTGAATTTTTGAGATGAAATATACTTAGAAAACAGAAAGTTTATACACCTTCCCAGATTCCATATGAAGACCAAGTGAGTAATAAGTATTATCCAAGCGATAACGAAATTTATCGGTATCGAAAATGTTGCAAGAAGTAGATGATTTAAACTAGAAACAATGTTTTGCGGAAAATACCGTAAGCAAAGATTCGCAGTTGTAAAAAGATACATTATTCCATGAATTAACAGACGTGAAAGAGGTGACTTAACAGAATCATGATCACCTTCAACAATACTAGCATTAGCCGCCCAGTATATACACTGTACTAATCCAATGTGAACAGGAAAAATGTGGGATTCAAACAAGGGTTGGCTTTTAGTTACCTGTTGTATGAAAACTGGATCACTAGAGTTAGTTGAATCTGGAAATACAGTCCCTCTTTCAAAATCAATGCTCAAGTTATTGCCTATAACTAAATGACTACGTCGAGTTAAATTGTCGGAATATTTATCGTCTGATTCCCCATCTGCAGCAGACACGGCATGCGTGGCTAATAACTTAGCATCGAATTCGACGACACTGTCAACTTCAACTCGAAGATTCCGTGATGATGGCTGCACCATCTCAACCGTATTCGAAGGTGCCTTCTCTGACTGAATACCACCACCATGTGACACACCTACTGGTGGAACATTATGACCTCCAGGGACAACCTCCTCACCAACTCCAACAACCGAAGGATTCGCTGCTAACGACTCTGGCTTCTCAACTGTACTCGAAGGTGCCTTCTCTGGCTGAATATCACCACCATGTGATACACCTACTGGTGGAACATTATGACCTCCAGGGACAACCTCCTCACCAACTCCAACAACCGAAGGATTCGCTGCTAACGACTCTGGCTTCTCAACTGTACTCGAAGGTGCCTTCTCTGACTGAATACCACCACCATGTGATACACCTACTGGTGGAACATTATGACCTCCAGGGATAACCTCCTCACCAACTCCAACAACCGAAGGATTTGCTGCTAACGACTCTGGCTTCTCAACTGTACTCGAAGGTGCCTTCTCTGACTGAATATCACCACCATGTGATACACCTACTGGTGGAACATTATGACCTCCAGGGACAACCTCCTCACCAACTCCAACAACCGAAGGATTCGCTGCTAACGACTCTGGCTTCTCAACTGTACTCGAAGGTGCCTTCTCTGGCTGAATATCACCACCATGTGATACACCTACTGGTGGAACATTATGACCTCCAGGGACAACCTCCTCACCAACTCCAACAACCGAAGGATTCGCTGCTAACGACTCTGGCTTCTCAACTGTACTCGAAGGTGCCTTCTCTGGCTGAATATCACCACCATGTGATACACCTACTGGTGGAACATTATGACCTCCAGGGACAACCTCCTCACCAACTCCAACAACCGAAGGATTCGCTGCTAACGACTCTGGCTTCTCAACTGTACTCGAAGGTGCCTTCTCTGGCTGAATATCACCACCATGTGATACACCTACTGGTGGAACATTATGACCTCCAGGGACAACCTCCTCACCAACTCCAACAACCGAAGGATTCGCTGCTAACGACTCTGGCTTCTCAACTGTACTCGAAGGTGCCTTCTCTGGCTGAATATCACCACCACGTGACACAGCTATTGGAGGGGAACTAATACTCGATGAAGCAGCTGTGTTGGAAAGTGAAGGAGCTAATGGTTTTTGGCTTTTGGTGTTTTCAGTATTTCTCTGAGGTTTATCTTTCACTACCCATCTTTCATCTACGATACTTCTGTGTTCCTGAGCATTTTTATTTATCATATCACGGGTAGATTGAAAATCTGATTGGGATTCAGAAGAATTCTGTTGGTTATCATTTTGGTTGAATAGATTTTGATCATCAAAATCAGTTTCCGTAAAATTTCGGTGTTCACTATTCAATGAAGACATTTTTTTGACATCAGAACTTCGACTTTTTTCAATAGTTGAGCTGGCATCATCTGACTTACTGTATGTTTTGAAAGTAGATTCAGTGGTATCCTGTTTAATGGAAGTAGAGGATATCGAGTGAGGAATATCCTCTTGTGAAGCATCGTCGTACGATTCATCATCTTCTGCATCATCGTCTTCCTCAAATTTAATACCCTCATCGACTCCATAAGAATCTATTTTCTGTGCGGCTTTTCTAACAGATTTTTTATGATCTATGAGATAAGCAGATTTATCTTCAATGACTCTATTCATGTTTTTATTTGGCGATAACTGGCCATGGGGTATTTTTTCAGGATTTGGTGCATTCGGTAACTGTTGACTAGTTTTACTAAGCTGCACAGAATCATAACTCGAATGCTCATTTCTTTTTCCGTCTGACTCGATTTTTACCTTATCCGAGTATTCTGAATTGACGTCTTCCATCCGATTTTGCTGGGGAATATCACGAAGTGAATCACTGTTTAGATTCTTAACTTTTTCATCCACATAATCAGAAAGTTTTGACTTACCTAAGTCGTTTTGAAGGTCATGTTTTGAATCAATAATATTTTTGAACTCATTAGAAAAGCCAGGAGTTGATGGGTTTATAGGTTTATCACCATTCTTAACCAACAAAAGCTTTTGTGGGTTAAAAGGTTCTTTCTCATGCACGAAACTAGAGTCGATGTAGAAGAATTCTCCATTTAACTTTACTTTAACCATAGAATTGTCACCATCCGCACTTTTTGCTATAATATCGACAATAGTATTTTTTGGTACTGGTTTATCGCTCGCCAGAAAAATGTCTTTAATTAGCTTTCCAGTAGTTATGCTATTAATGCAACTGTTGTCCGAACATAGTAAATTGGTAGGGAGGTTTTTTTCAGTCCCACACTGAACGTGATAGAGTAAAGCAGTAAATCCAAAGAATGAAACAATTGGATGGACCTTCATCCTAAAATGTGGAAAATAACTTTGAATATATTTTCAAAAATATGCAGCAAGAAACCTATACCAACAGTTACTACGCAGCTAATTCCAAGAATATACTGTATGGTAAATATGACATTAAAATACTGCAATGACAAAACAGACAACATCAACGCAGAACTTCGCCTATAAGTGCATCGGTTCAAGCTCCCACACTTCACAGTAGCATGCGACGAACAAATGCACAGAAAAAGAATGATACCAAAGCAGACAAAGGTGTATGGGAGAATAGGGGACTTGAAAATCACGACCAGTGAATATATTCAGGCTTTAAAAGACGTCAAAGAGTGAATACATCTGTTTCATTGTAACCGATTTTAAGTCATGTCAACAAGAGTCTCCAACCACCGGATCTCTATTGTGCCGAGGATCCCATCCAGGCAGTCTACACATTTTCACACGGCCCAGACCAACAGCCAGGGACTTCATGCACCATGCTGTGTTTAAGGTGCCCATTCTGAACCCTCTTCCAGCCTAATCCAGCTCCTCCTGGCATTGCACGTCTAGATAGGGGATGGATGAGTATACGCAGCACATGTTTAAGCCACCTAAGTCGACTAAGTTTCATAACCTCATCAATCGACTTGTCTGTCCTGTCTAGTATCCTTCGAATGAGTTCTGTTTTGCTGACATGAGGATTCCATTACACGTGAGTAGTGCTATGAAGGCACCTATGACCAAAAGCTTGTAGACGCTTCAAATCTTTTGGCGGGTACGTCTCACAGCCGTACAACAGGACAGAAAGGACTGCCGCGGAGTATACTCATCCTTTGGTAAACAGTCGAATATCCTGCGGGCGCCACAGAAGACGCAAGTTGGCAAATGCCACACGGACCTTCTTTATCCGAGATGAGATTCCGTCATCAACCAGCCTGGTCAGGCTGATGAAAATCCTTAAGTAAACGTAGTTGACACATTCCACCACTTTACCCCCTATCACTAAACTGGGAGTACTTGTAGCAGATCGGTCCTATAGCACCATTTTACATTTTTCACGTGCAAGACGCATGCCAGCGGAATACACTCAAATTTCTGCTTAAGGTGATTAAAAGACCCTCCATTGCGTCAGAATCTTTATCTAGCAGGAAAATATCGTCTGCAAACTCTACATCAACAAGATAACCTCCAGGGAGTAGATAAATCCACGTGAAGTCAGATGTACCTAGGGTTATATCAATTAGCACGTCTATGACGAGGTCAAATAAAAACGGGAACAGTGGATGTCCCCTACCGAACGCTAGTTTTCGTCCATTCTGGTGACAAATTTCCATAAGACCTTAAACGGATGCGTGGGTCCTAGTAGGGAGGGTTGATTAATGTTACATACTTGCTCGGAACTATTCTCACAGTCAGACACTGCCACAACACCTCAATCGACAGTCGTGCTGTCATCATAAAGAGATACGGCAAGTGCCGGCCGCCGGTAAGCATGCCTGCGGCTCAGGACCCATCTGAGGGTGAAAATATGATCGGTGCACCCGCTTTCAGGTCTGAAGCCTGCCTGCTTTTCTTGAGCTCCATTCAGGCGTCAGATAACTATGAATTTTAGGATCTTTAACACTATTAGTCAAATTAATTCCCCTATGGTTGTCACACGAAGGCTTCTCTCCCTTCTTATAGACTGGGATGATTAGTTAGGTATACCAGTACTTCTGTTTCCCATACATTAGCTAGTACCTCCGTCACTTTAATCAGCAATTTCCTACATCCATCCGCGAAAACTTCGGGTGGCAAACTGTCAGGTCCTTCTGATTCGCATCATTTCAGGTTCGATACAGCTTTCTCAACTTCAAGGAGAGTAGCTGGATCTACACCTATGTTCCATTCAGGTTCAGGTTGGATGTTGGTCAACTTTAGCGTTGGTGTGGGCGAACTGAATTATGCTTCAAAGTGTTCTAACCACTTGTCTTGGGAGGCTCTCAGTGTTCTATCCATCGTCTTCTTGTCAGTATCCCTAATAAGCCTGAATAGTTGCCATGTTACCCAATGTTGATGCCTTCCATACCTCGGTTTTGTCACCCACCGCTGTTCATGATTATTGTGAAAACCCCCGGTCAATTTATGTTTGTTTCTCTTGCTCTTTACTGTGGGCAGAGCCAGCCAGAATCAGTCTTCTCGCATTAATCACTTCGGATAAGGTTGCGGAAATTCAGTGACGTGTGCTAACCTTCGGGTGCAGGTTGCCAAGTGTCTGTCGCTGTTTCTACAACAGACTGAATCTCACTCCAGGTTTCTACAGGATGATTGCTGTCACGTTAAGTGTTTAGCTGTCTTCCTAGATGCTTACTTTACGTTCTCGTCTTCCAGTCGAGGATAGACAGGCTTTACTGTCGCCTATTTCCTAAGACAAGGAAGGCGCAGACACATGAGCTCATACTAGGGCACGATTGGAGTTCAAACACGTACCCCAGAAGGAGCGGCAAGCCTCTAGTGATCCTCTCCGACGATGGATTATAGCGATATCGTTGATTTGATGTCGGTGGACGCCATGTGAAGCAACGTTAGAGATATATACTCTCATCATGTCCACTCATTTTTGTTACAATTGCCTACCTCCAACTTTCTAAAAATCTATTTGTTACCTGAATAATGGTTGACAGCAGAGTATGCTAAAGATAAGACCGAATGTTTTCAGCAGAAATCCGACTGGCATATGTCTTGCACCTGAAAAATGAGGTGCCGCAGGACTGATATGCTCACATCAGTCATAATAGGTTCGATGTTTAAATCTCAGCACGAACACAAAGGACTGGTTAAGACACCAAACTATATCATGTGTAGTTGCCAAGGTGTGCACTGAGCGAAGGTTCGTCTTTTCCTGGTTAACTGCTACAATATACGGTTACTGAAAGTGGGAAATATGAAGTTACGGGTTCTACACCATAAGTGCTGAAATGTAGTGGGATCAGACTAAGTAACGTACAAGCCAGGTGCGTGGACCAGTCAATCAGTTAATATCAACATGGGACGTGGGGTTACTGTATAACAATCCAAGTTGCCACATCTCATATCAATGTATCAAGATACATGATATCAAAATGAAAGATAAATAGGTTTAGAAAATGTAATCAAAAGTCGTAGACAGTAGAAAAGACGGTGTAGATCAATGACGAAGTGTGATATCATGATTAGGACGAACATAACTTACGAATCCATTTGTATCACTGAAATCGATTTTTAGAAATACCACCTAAAATCTGTAACCATTGACTGCAGTTATTCGAAATTTAACCAGAAAGCCTACACTTGCCTGAGTTACTAGTCTCGCCCCCTTCAAACTATTCCCAACGTATTCCTACTTCAGCTAACATTAAGCCAAGGTGATTAAGTTTGCATAATACATCTCATAACCACTTTATTAGATGAAGATTTGCAGCCTCATAAACCGATATACCTCTGTAACCGACTTTACGTCTAACTTCTAAATAATTGACAATATAATTCAAGGCAGTGCCTTTTATGTACTAGTCTACGAGTTACACGTGATGATTCATAATACTAACAAGTTTCCCAGGTCGAATAAGGTGAAGTGGGGTTTGAATCTGACAACCAGTCTGAAAATCAAGTGCTTCAGCCGAAGAGCCACCACATTAACTGCAAACTAAATGGAGTGAGTCAACTGGTGAGGCTGAAAACCATTAGTAACAGATTATTAAGATGTTAACATGTCAGGCTACTTGTAATCATGAGCGCCGTAGAACTGAATCAAACCGATATGCATAGCAGCCTCGTGCAGTACGCACGAGGCTGCACACACTTATTGCCACACTTATTGTGGGAAGTCAAGTGGTATTACCTGGCTGCCTAACCATAGATGCGGTGGGGGCCCGAACCAACGACCCTTTAGTCGAAAGTCATCTTGCTAAACCAATGAGCCACAATTCCACGAAAGGTGCACCTGCAACCTCAGGGGAACCGACGTCCTGCATGAGATTCGAACCTGCACTATCCGACGTTGTAGTCAGAGACGTTACCGTTGAGTTATTTGGGCAGTTGGCCAAAACAGAATTAAGTTGAAAGTTAGTGGTCAGTATACCTATTCGTTGTACTAGATCATAAACTGCTCATTTTCCTAAGACGTGAAAGGAAGTTCTAGCTGCCTGATTTTTATAATGTCAAGAACTAATAGTTTGAGACTGACAATGATGATTAAAAACACGGATTGCGGAAGTATGAGTGAATTCATCCCATACCATATACAGTTTTGAAATTTTTATTCATTTATTTGTTCTCTTCTTTCATACCTCTAGTTCATATTTTAAAATTTAATTATGCTGCTTTTTCTAAGCTACTTCAGCCGGTGTGAAAATACGAGTACTTCACCCAATAGTTACTTTTGAGTAGATCTTAGGACGACTAATAGAATCTAGGTTAACTAATCATATTTGTCGAGTATTTTATCCAAGATGAAAATACCTGGCAAATAAGCATGAGACCGCAACGATAACTGAACAGCGAACTTTTCATCAGCAAATTTCTTAGCACCCATGGGACCTAACTAATGCGCTTGGTCTGTTATTCTATTATGAAAACAGGTCGGATTATCATTCAGAGGCAAGCTGTTAAGGCAATTTACCGACCAGAAATGTACCATCTTACGTAGAATGTCATGTAACACTTGCAGCAAACCATCAGAGCACTTAAGTAGTCAATCTCTAAGCTGCTAGCATCATCACATCGATTGATCCAGCTGATGGAAAAACTTGATACCCATTATTGTGATGATGCGCTAACACGGAATTATTACGAAATCAGTATTCAACATGTCGAACCACATTTCTTTTCGCGAAATAAGCTTTTGAAAAAAGCTGGCTTCGAGAGTTAGGACAAACGTGTGATATACACTAAGCCTTTACATGAATTTCCACAACAGTGTATGCGCGTCTGCATTACATCCAACCAGGTTCATTTAGGTAGCGGCAACGCTTGTACAATCCTACCATTAAGTACAGCAGAAACCGATTAATACGTTTTCCTGCATTGTTGCACTTCAGACGATTAATAGCTCAGATTGGTTTAAATTTTTAGTTATAAGGATAGTAGGCCAGTTGGCCTGTTTTAATCCTTGCAGAAGATATCTCTGTGAAGATCTAGTTTCTCCTTGAACGCGTTGACAGAAGGTGCTGATACTACTTGCTGAGGTAAGGAGTTCCAGTCATTGACAACACGATGGGAGGAACGCAGATTCACGCTAAGTTAATTTGATTGCGGTTTTAGAATTTTCTTGTGGTATCCTCGGAGATAGTCAGTCCTAGCAACCATAGCCAACTAGCTAACTATAAGCTGTCCAGACTCATTTTCAAAGCTTTTCCCAAATGACTTTTGAACAAATATGTAAACAGTTGGATGGGTGAGGGAATGCAAGGCGACTAGTCCAAGGACCAATTTAAAATTAGTACCTATTGGTAGGTAGACTGATGAAGCTATAACCTTGCACAGATAGACGTATACTTGTTCCACTTTCTGTACGTTTTAAGAACAACTCAACCATATGTTAGATTTCAGATACTTTCAATGCAGTCATTTAAAATACGACAAATTATACGCTGAATATGTTCATCGTGAATTACAGATACGTAGTACTTTTCCTGCAACTCCTACATATTGGTGGAAGTTTCCGAAGTGATAGACCTAATCATGCCAAAATAGAGCCATTACTCAGGAATATGCACAGCTACAATGAGAGGAAATTGTCGTGTTATGGCGCGCAGAAAGTATACGCATCCGCAATAAACAATCCCCATAGGAATATGTGACTGACCTTTAGGAGCGGTTAAAAAGCATATGCAAGAGTACATACCTGGAGAAAAATACAACAATAATTTTGTTGAAAAAGAGAGAGAAGCTACTAAATGTCGAAGATACATGGGTTACAATGAGGAGGCAAAAAAACCACCACAAACCTCAGCGATTCAACATTCCCGCGAGTTTGGAAACTGTGCAACGTCACAATACCTTAACCTGGATACTGAAATTCGGAAAGCGGCTTTAGCCATGTAGATTCACGTACTTCCCAAAATCAGCAGTCTGGGGTTTGACAAGATTCAACATTGATCCTGACCTTCATAGTTTTATCAGGCTCGCTAGGCTGAAGGCATGTTATCTATCAGTCGTCGATGGCGAGCATCTACGAGTAGATCGTAATGGTTTAGCAAATCTATGCCAATGATGGGCATAGAGACGTCTGCCAGGAGGAAAATCCAGTGGATAGGTTTGCGTAAACCTAAGTTGAGGTAGGCATACCGTCTCCCGAATGTCGCGATTGCCTTGCCGTTGGCTGCTTGAAGATTGAAGGATGGGTCGAGATGACGCTCCTTTGTCGTTGCTGGAAGAACGCTAACTTCTGCGCCGGTGTCGACGAGGTAGCGGACTTTCGTTTTAATGTCGGTGACGTAGAGCAAACGGCTTTTTCCGCCGGCTACGGTTGCCGTGAGCACGTGCCGGCGTGACCGTTTCCCGAGTTCGGGTCCTTCTTAAAACGGCATGGTTTACGACATTTTCTGGCTTCATCCCCGTAAGTGTTATGAAACCAGCACCATTCAGGGTTTTCCACCCTGTTGGGTTTCGTTTTAGGGCTACCACGCGACTTGCTGCGATGCGCCAAGGTGCGTTTCTGTGAAGTGCTACGTGATCTAGGACTTCGAGATCGTAGCAACCGTTTCACAGAGTTGCACAACTTGGTCACCTCTGAATCCTGGCGCTCTGTTTTGTCGCAGATAGAATATACGTTGGAGACGGGTCTGCTGGATATCTCCAGTATTTTATCTGCTGAGGCTGCCAGGTCGTCGAGTGGGACTGACTGCAGTGTCACCAACACGGTTTGCACCGGTTGTGGTAGTTTCGAGAGAAATAGTTCTCGGAAGAAACCATCGTCAAATGTTCGTGCACCGATTACTTCTCGCATGCGTGCGAGGACTTCAGTAGCTGAGTGGCTGCCTAGCTCGATGTTACGAAGCAATTCGTCTAGACGTTGGCGATCTGTGAGATCGCTTTTCTTCAAGAGTGCGGCCTTTAGAAGTGCATAAGGGTCACTTACTTCAGGATTAAACATGTTTGCTGTAACAAACCTGTTTAATTCTCGCGGTAGTGAACGTATGACAGCAAGAAATCGAGAATGAGGATCTGAGACACCCTGTTCTCGAAAATCGGCCTCGGCATACAGAAACCATGTTTCTGCATTGTCTGGCCAATATGGCACGAGTTGGATCGTGTTCGAGGTCGGCTTAATACGAATAAGCTTGGGAGTGTGGTCGGACATGAGAAAGTGTAGTAAATGGATATATAAATGTTATCGAAATGAAAACAATAAACAAATATAAAATGGAACAGGCTCACCAATTCAATACTTGTTATTGGTCGGGATATGTGATCACGTCGGGCTCACCAATTTAGGATTTGTCCTGGTGCGAACTTGACAGACGCAAAGACCAATCACTAATTATTCGAACTTGTTATATACCCACGAATACGAGACCAAGGAAGAACACGATAGCGTAGTCGGATGGAATAGTATATTTGGATGGTTATGCCAAAATACCGATGCGTTCCAACTAACTGGCTAGAGAGTCGAATACGAGCAATGCAACGTAACACGACAGCGTGCCAAATGGCGAGGATGCTTGACCGGATGCCTTCAGCTTAGCGAGTCCAGTTAAACTATCAAGGTCAGCATCAATGTCGAAGTCGTCAAACCCTAGGCTATTGATTTTGGGGAAGTGTATGACGCTACAGGCACACGGTCAAGCTGTCGTGTCATGTTGCGCTGCTCGTAATCGACCCTCTAGTCAGCTAGTTAGAACGCACCGGTATTTTGGCGCGAACTCGCAAATATACTATTCCATCTGACTACGCTATCGTGTTCTTTTTTGGTCATGTATTATTGAGTATATTACAAGTACGAGTAGTTAGTGATTGGTCTCTGCGTCTGTTAAGTTTCCTAAAACCTTAACATATAGTTTTGGGTAAAGCCGCTTTAAAGAAGTGCCAGTGATAAGTCTATAAAAAGCCACCATGCAGTGACAGTTTTCAGTAAGGTATTGTGGTACTGGCACGTATTAAACATTACAGCATTTATCTCTATGAAGATCCGGATTTCTCTTGAATACCACTACTTAAGAAACTGCTACTATCCATTCCGATGAGGAGCTGGAATCAAGGGCCACTTAGTGATAGAACCAGTATTCTAGTCAAGTAGGGTTCGACCGTGAATTTTTGTCTTGTATTAACCTCGCTTGGTTAACTAGTTCACCAGTTACTAGCCGGTCCTAAGCCCCCGTAAAGAGGGAAGGTTGGGCATAGGGCTAGCAACCCTACACCGTAAAAAAAATCCAGTCGCTAAAGAAACTCAAAAGCACAAACAAAATATAAAAAATAAAAACAAAATTATTCCTCACTGGAATCGGAGAGACGAAATGACGCCAGTTGGTGAAAGCCTTTGGGAAGCCAATTGGCCGATGTATCTTCTCTCTCTCGATGAAAGTAAAAGTAAATACGGGGAAATGGAATGTCCGCACCATGTCTGAACCTACCAAGGCTGCCCAGATTGCAAAGGAGATGAGAAGGTATCACATTGAAATGTTAGGAATTTGTGAAAGCAGGTGGAATGGAAGTGAACTCTCCAACCTATCAACTGGAGAGTCAATAATCTACCCCGATGTTATCATCCAGACGACAACCACGAACACATTGAGCTATAGAGTAGCCATCATGATGTCCTTTTGAAGAGCATCGAAGGCTCTCATGCAGTGGGAACCAGTCTCCTCCAGGATCATAACAGCAAGGTTCAACTCAAAAGGAAGGAAGGTCACAATCGTACAATGCCAATACTATGCACCTACAAATAATGCAGATGAAGAGAAGGAGGAGGAATTCTACAGACAACTGCAATCAACACTGGACAACACCTTAGTTGATGACATCAAAATTCGAATGGGTGGGTAGACATGAATGCCAAACTGGGAGCAGACAACACAGGAAGAGAACTAACCGTGTGTCGACAAGCGCTCAGTGAATCGAACAAGAATGGAGAATCGTTTGCAGAATTCTGTGCATTCAACGATTTGGTGATTGGAGGCGAGACAGTGTGTTCAAGCACAAGGATATCCACATGAATTTCACCATACACCAGACCCACTAAAAATCAGATCGACTTCATCTCAATCTCAAGAAAGTGAAGGTGCAGCCTTCTTGACACAAGGTCAAGAAGAGGAGCAGATGTAGGCTGAGACCGCTCACTATCTAGTGCAAGGAACCTAACTTCCAAGTCAAGTTGAAAACCTTCAGGGAAGTTGACGATAGACCACAGTTCAAGTTCAACACCCAGAACAGAGACTAAAAGACGAAACTACAAGGGACATCTTCATGACAGCCAGTCATCAGGGAGAAATGGGAGATATCGAGCAATATCCTTGAAGAAACCTGTGTGAATGAACACTGGGACTGTTTGAAAGCTATATGGAAAGAAACCTGCATAACCGTACTAGGAAGGAAGAAGAAAGAAGATAAGGAATGGATCTCAATGTATACATGGAAGCTGATAGATGAGGGAGAGGAGGATGGTGAAGCAGAAGGTGAACCAGTGCAGTGCAAGGATGCTCAGCGACGAGAAGAGGAACTGAGTACAATGTATAAAACACTGAACAAAGAAGTGAAGAAGAGTGCACGCAAAGGCAAAAGACACTTCTACGAAACACTGGCAAGTGAAGCAGAACAGGCTGCAGGTAAGAGAGATAGAGATAGAGACCTGATAACATTGTATCAAATAACCAGGTTACTATCTAGGAGGGAAGAGATCAACACAGATGAAACCAAATCTAATTACAAAAGAAGAGAAACAAAGGGCTGATTACTTCAAAAAGCTCCTGAATCGACCACCACCTGCACTTCGCCCAGAAATACCACCTGCAAGCACAGAACTACAGGTGAAAATAAATTCTCCAACAAAAGTCGAAGTCCTGAGCACCATAAAGCTACTGAAACGCGGGAGAGCAGCACGAACAGATAGGATCCCGTCAGAAGCACTGAGAACAGACACAGAGACAACAGCGGACATGCTCACACCACTGTTGTAGAAGGTGTGGGAGGACGGGAAGGTACCTGCCGATTGATTGGAAGAAGGGCGACCTCTGTGTTTGCAGGAACTGGGGCGGAATCACTCTCCTATCCACCCAGAGCAAGCAAAATATTATGCCACATCATCCTGGAGAGACTGAAGGATCCACCGGATTCAGAACTACGACCGGAACAGGCTGGCTGGACTCAGGGAGTACAAATCGTGTGTGGACCAAACTGCAACGCTATGCTACGCATCATCATGAAACAGAGTATAGAATGACAGTCAACCCTCCACCTCAGGTTCTTAGACTTTGAGAAGGCCTTTGACAGCGTCAACCGAGAAGTAATTTGGCAGGTAGCTGCTTCAACACTATGGAATACCACAAATCTTTATCAACCTCATTCGACAACCATGTGAAGATGTCACGTGTCGAGTAATTCACAATGGGAAGTTAAGTGACGCCTTCGAGGTGAAGACAGGGAGGAGTAAGAAAAGGCTGTCTACTATTACCCACGATATTCCTGATTGTGGTCGACTGGGTCATGCAACAAACAGTGAGAAGAGAGGAGAGGGGGATACGCTTGATCGCGGAGAAGATCCCAGAAGATTTGGATTTCGCCAGTGATGACTTGTGTCCAATGTCACACAAACTTGAAGATCTACAGACGAAAACTAACAAGTTGACAGAAAAGGCAGGTCGGCGAAGACGGGACTTCCTTCGGGTGAAAATGGAGAAGACAGAAGTAATGAAGATATTCAAGCAACAACAAGAACAACAAGCCCCAATCACCATCAGCGGGAGAAACTTAGAGGAGGTAGCCTGTTCCATTCACCTAAGCGGCACTGTTTCAACAACAGGCGGCACGGACGAGGATATCAAAGCCAGTATCGGAAGGACAGCAAGACAGGCCTTCCTTCATTAACCTGAGACCAGTGTGGAGATCTTCTGCACTCCGCTCAGCATAAAGAACAAGGTCCAGAATTTCAACACCGACGTC